GACAGGGAAACAGCTGGAAAACTGCTCGCACTAAACCTCAGCTCCCAACGGCCAGCATCATCGCTAAAAACTTGAAATTCTCACTTGATCTATCGCCGCGCGTGCTGATGACGCTCCTCAAATTCGGCGCTGATCACAGAGACATTGCACCATTTGCAATCAGCTGGGCTGAATCGGCTCAGTACCATTGGAGCATGAGGGATCCGCAGACTGCGACCATAGAATGGCGCGCCTTGTGCAAAGAGCTCCGACGCAGCGGATACCGATATAGCGGTACCGACTACGATGCTTTGCGCGAATGCTTTCCAAATGAGGACCCGGAGACATGGCCTGTGGGTACATGTACTGAACCCTCAGGTGTTGAAGAGGGACGTGTTGTTGCGCAAATGAGCCCGAAAGTTGGTGGATTGCGACGACGGCTGAAGGAGAACGTCGGGTGCAAAGTGCAGTGAACCCTTTAAGATTGATTGCAACGAAGAACAGGATAGCATGTTTCTTGGAGTTTCGAAAAGGCAAAGAGTTAACGATCTAGATGCTCGGCAAAGGGAGCTTTTTGTTTACTTTGTTTTGAAGAGCGGTGATCCCCCCCCGTATGGAAGAATGAGTTGATTCATTGTTTGGGAAGTTAGTTAGGCGCCCGCTCAGCCCTGACCACCGCTGGCACTTGAAATGTACCATGGGAACATATTTGAAATCTAAAATCCGGAATCTTTTATTCCGGCTGTGTGGGCCGTTCGTTTATTATCCATGGCACATTTTCGAGCAGAGGTCCCTTGCACATCCAGCAGACGGTACAACGGACTTGTTTCCGCTCCTCTCCACCATCAACCCAGCAAGCTACGGCAGGTGTCCACACCTGCGAAAATCTTCCGTAGTATAGTGGTCAGTATATGAGCTTGTCAACTTCATTTGATGATTTCGCTCGGGACCCGGGTTCAATTCCCGGCGGGAGAGACTTACATTTTTTGTTTCAACTTTCCACTTTAACACTTCAATGGTTTCAAGCGAGTCGCGCTTTAGCGAATAAATACCTGACTCGCAACTCGCAACTCGCGACTGTTGTTGTGTGTTTGTAGCAATAGGATTAGATAGAGAATTATCTATATTCGCTCCCATAAAACACCACTCCAGCGACTTACTTGAACTGTCAGCCAGGCTGCCTCGCTGAGTCCCTGGTCTCACGCTGTCTTGCCGCTGGTCGATGTGGCGCAACGGAGAAGTTCCCACCAAGAGGACCAGAGCCAGACACTCCTCGTCACCGCTCTTGGTATACTCAAGAAGGGGGACCCGCCCATATGGAGTGACCTCCCTGACTTTGGATACATTATGAGAGACAAATGGATAGGTACTTGTTCCTCTAATCCTGACCCAACGCCTCAATCTTATTCTGACAAACATTAAAATTATCCCACGTTTGAATGGCACCCCGAGAGGACGACAACTAAAAGCTCAACCAGTGGCTGAAGCTCAACTCCTTCGTGGCTCGCCTCTTCGGAGGCGGCATAATCGTCGAGAGTCGCTTCCCCATCTAGCAGTTACGGAAGGGCCTCGAGGAGGACTTGGCCTCAGAGGCGAAAGGGGATTGCACCCCAGCCGAGGCCATCGATAACAGGGTCGCCGTTTCGTGCGAGTGGCTTATTCATCCGGACCCGCTCTCCTCAAGAAGACCTTGTAAGATCACCAAGATCTTAACGAAAATCTGAGGAAATCGTACCGGGCCGGAGCTCTCTTTACGGGCCATCCGGCATTCAATTTGGAGCGTTGGGGGTTCTGGAAGAGGAGGCTCGAGGAGCGGCGACCAACTATTGGCGGAGAAGTCGCCGCGAGCGTCGGTCGGGCGACTGAGAGTATATGAGCCTCTGAAGAAGCCCTGGCAGCGAACTGAGCCATAATTATTACCAATAGTCCCAAATAATCTTTATATTGACGTGGCCCCGGTTCCTCTCACAACATGGCAAAGTATGTGAATATCCAATGTCCTTCTATTGTCCACTGAACGGCAACCCTCTGCTAAGCATCAGGATCAGTAATGATCTGATCGCTATTAGAACTCCGATGACTTCCAAACTTCTGGTCAAAGGGTGCATGAACAAATTAGTCCGCCTTGACCGAGACATCCTCCGGCGCCAGCTGTGATACCCACCCCAGAATTTGCGGAGCTGGAATTCGGATGGAGATGGTGATTTTGCCGCCGTGCACGGTGGCGTTTTTGGATGCCTGAAAACACAACCCCCCCCCGCCGCCGCCGCCGTCGCCGCCGTCCGCCAACGCATTCCGCATGCAGTTGACTTCATCATCGTCGAACCCGTCCTTGTTAGACATGACAATGTGCACGTCTTTCACGACGACAAAGGCGGTGGACCAGCTGTGCAGCATGTACTGCGGACCATCGCGGACGGTGTGGCCGTCCTTCAAGAACTGATCGAGCACTTCTTGCGGATCTCCCGCAGAGACCTTGTTGGCGTTGGAGTTGTGAAAGGGCTCTTTGGTCTGCTGGCCGAGGAGCTGCGCGTTGAACCAGGGGCGATCGATGACGACTTTCATGGCGCGGAAGCTGATCTGGATGTCGGTGTTGCTGGTGGTGGCATGGCACGTGAATGATGAGGAGACGGGGTCGTTGGCGAACCAGAGCCTGGCAGACCAGTCGCTGTGGGATACGGAGGTACTGAGCTTGGTGCTGCTGTCGGTTTTCTTTGTACTGTCAAAGACAAACCGCTGCCAGACGGAGGCGCAGTCCTGCAAAGGCGGCCGTGATGGGGCCGTCTCGCGCGCTTTAGTAGCCTCAGGTGCAGTTAGGTCTCCAGAAGAGGCTTGGAGCGTCTTCTTGTAGTAGTCGATGTCGTTGGACAGCGACTGGATCTGCTCGTTGAGGGCCCGCAGATAGGTAGTGGAATCCTTCCCGCGGGCTTCGGAGGCGGCCAGCATGGCGTTGGCGTACTTCTCGTTGGTGGCTTTGACGTTGTGCTGGTTCTCAAATACTTTGGCCTGCATGTCCACCAGAGTGCTCCATTGGCCGGGGGTCAGCGGCAATGACACGTTCGCCTTCTGGAGCGCGTTGATCAGTTCTGTCTCGTTGGCATCCGTCAACGTCTTCAAGGCCGCGACCCTGTCCTGGGCCTCCTTAGTGATAATGTCAAAGTACACCCTAATGCAGCTAACGGCCGCGTCGCTGTAACCCTTGACCATGTCCCACTCGGCCTTCTGCAGTGCCTCTCTGGCGTCGCTGGTCGCCTTCTCGAGCGCCTGGATGTCCTGCGTCTCAGACATCAAGGCATCGCGGCGCATGCAGAGGAAGCGGCGGTCATTCTCAGCCTCGTGCAATCGGATGCGTGTCATCTCGACATTAGAGAGCAGGTCCTCGGGTTGGACGGTGGTGCTGAGGTACTTGGCCCAGTTGGTTGGAGTCATCACAACGGGGTAGATGTCCTCGGTGTCGTCAATGCTGCGCATGGCCGACTCCCGGAGGCTCTCCTTATCCTGTTGCAGAGCATCAGCTGCGGTTAGGATGTCGATGTAGGAGATGTACTTTCTGACACGATTATCTAAAGATCCAAGGCCGGCGCATGTTAGTGAGTGACGTGCCGAAGCAATGGTGGCGATGCCGAAGATGAGCTGGGGAGGGAGTGAGCTTACACTGGCCGCGCACCATCAAGACAGACCAAAGAGCATCCAACTTGGCATCAATCACGGGGGCATACGTGGAGAGCAGTCCTGTAAAAAGGTATCAGTCAATGGTCAAGGTGCAACTGGGGAGAATAACAACTTACTGTCGTAGGCGGCCACCTTGGCCCTGGTCAGCATCGTCAGCAGGCCTGGCATCGCCTTTGAACCGAGCCCAGCGCAAGCGCTCGGTCTCATAGAGATCCAGCAGCTTTTGGTAGAGGTCGATGCGTGAGATCTTGGGGGTTGTTCTGGGATCATGCTTGATCTCCCCAACAATGCGCTCAGGCATGGGCGGAAGGTTCTTATCAGCCGGGATCATGCTGAGGAGGTCGCTGGCCGGGGGCTCAAAGTTGTCGACTTCCTCGTGCAGCCACTCCGAGATCGTTTCCTGGTCAGGGACGAGCTTGTCCATCTCGGCGCTGCTATTCTCCACGTTAGCGGGCGTGAGGCCAACGAGCACCTGCTCGTAACTCTCAGCCATCTTGCTGCCGTTGGGTCCGCCGACGAGGTTGGACAGGTTGAACATGCCGTCGACGAGTCGAAACTCGGCTTCGGCAACCGAGGGTGGCTTCAGCTGTAGTGCGTTGGGACTGTCACTCTCGTCATAGTGATAGTCACCCATCTTGAGCAGCCGTGCTGGCATCTCCATTTGGAAGAGCTCATTGTCGCCGTTGCCGAACGTTTCGCGAAGCTTGTCGTACATCTGGATCAAGAGGTTGTTCGAAGAGGCATCCATGTTGCTTAGTGGTGGTGCTCGTGTTGTATTGGGACGCGCAGAGAAAGATAGCTGGTTTGTGACAAAGGTGATTGAGGAAACATTTTTGGAAAAAGAAGAAGCGCCTTTTATGCCCCTCGCAGGATGAGGATTGGGGATACTACCAGTAGTCTATGCATACGGGATTTTTTTTTCGTGTGCTATTTAATGCATCAGGTTATTATATTGGATTCGAGGTGAGTCCATGTACACATTCCGGCTTGATCACAGCTGAACTGGACGATTTCTTCCGGTTTAGGTTAGGTGCAGTGCAACTAGCTGCGTCTAGACTCAGCTAGAGATTCCTTGATAGGAAAGGTAAAACGCCCGAAAACCGATAGTGCTTCAATGAATCATTAGCGTATTCGCCTCAGAACTCCATGTTCTGGGATCCCAACTTACCTGAACCCGGACTGCTAAAGTTCGTTCTGCCCTCACACCCAATTATTGTGAACCCCAAATCTTTACGATGAAATATGAGAAACTAGAACTAAGGGTCCTGTCTTCAAATTCACTACGTCCATCATGCGAGGGAGCCAAACCAAACAAACCCCTCCCCATCTGAAAGGAATGTCAAAAAAGCTGGACTAACCCGGGATTGAACCGGGGACCTTTCACAAGGCGAACATCTTTGACGATGCGAAGCGAAAATCATACCACTAGACCATTAGCCCTGGTGTCGGAGAGTGGATCTCCTAATTGTTGAAGACTGGAGTCGTAATGCCCTTCTAACAACTCAGCAAGCGAGCGGATAGAGCATTGGCTGGAGAATGCGTTGGTGGAAAAAAGTGGATAGTCACTGACTCGTGGTCTTCTTCAACTGCTTTTCTTTGTGACTTCATGCGTGTTCGTCGATGCTCCAGTCTATGTGGTGTGACAGGTTCTTTCCGCTCTTCCAGGTACGAGTAACGAAGCAGTCATCTTTCACCGGGGATATTCATAATATAGCATCCAGTCGTTTTCGCCGAAGTCCTGCATACTCAACCACGCCTCGTCGAGAGAATAGAAGGTCAGAAAACCGTCCAGGCCCTCCGTCATTGTCGTTGATCCAAGAGACATCATGCCTGTGGAGGTGTGTGAGGACGTAGACGGTGGGTGGTTGCCCCATGGTGAGGGGACGTGTTCATGTGGTGCATATGGCGGAGTCGTTGGCCCTGCTCCCATTTTGGGCGGGACATTGTCGACTCCTAGCAACGTTAAAATTAGTAAACCCCCTGATGAACCGGATAAAGAAAGAGACCGACCTTGCACGGTTGGCGCTGCGCCAGCGTTGCTCCTAACCCGTGAAGCTATCGAGTCTCGATACCTCTTCAGAACCTCCAGGCCTTTAGCGGCCGACGCAATGTGTGGATTGTGGAACTCGAAGATATGAATGGTTGACAGACAAAGTGAGCAGATCTCCGTGGAAACGCTCATGCAGCCGCGATGTTGAGGTCCAGCTCTCTGGGACTGGTATTTTTGTCGAAGTCCAGCGGTGGGCCTCGGCGATAAGGGACGGTTAGAGTAGAAGTAGTCTCAAGGTCAGAGCCCTGAGAAGTTAAGAGTTAGTGAAATTTGATATTATTTACAACGAAGTTTCAGGGGGAAAGAAACATGGGGCCAACCTGGTTCTCAAAATCTGGCACTGCAGTTGAAACAGGCAATATCATCGCTCGTCACTGGGAGCTCAGAGTAGTCAGCGTCGATGCGGAGATGGGTAGGCATGCCGAGCCTGTACAGATAGTCGTCAATCTGCGAGTTGAGGTGGAGTACGATGCTAGGGTCAGGACCGATATTCTCCATGACTTTGGATTGGCCATCTGCAGCTGGGGCGGCATTATCTCGTAATGCGGCGCGCATGTCGGTGATCAGATGCACGGGTTTCGTCGAGTAAACGGCGGGCGCTAAACGTGACGGCTTTTTATCGGGCTAACTGCCTTCTTCTCCAGCCTTTGTGAACAGGTACTCGTTGTCGATGAGCTAGGGGAGCGGAGCATGGCTCATCAGTTCTTTTGAGATTAGGATCGGCCGGCCAAATGCCATAGAGACGATTCTGTCTAGCTGTCAGCACAAAAACCTTGGGTGCAAGGCTTCAATAGTTTCCTACTGATCCAGCGTGACGCAGCCCCCGTACCACACCCGTTTTCGCATCTCGCGGTCCAGCTGGGTGGCAGCGCCTTTGAACGCAGCGACAGGGAGTCCCATGCTAAATGAAACGCGGATGGCAGCTCCGATCATGACCCAGCAGCGGTTCGCCCGTGTGGCAAAGTAAAGATGGAGACCGCGCAGCAGGAGCAGCTGCACAACAGCCAGCGAGGAACTGTCCAGAGTATCGAGACGAGTTGTACAGAGCGCCTATAGAATTTGTCTGCGTGAAAGCTACGCTCTGAGAAAGATACAGACTCGTCTCGTTGACAGCAGAGTGCAAGCATTATGTTCAGTGTGGCATGGAAGACAATCTCGTGGAACCCGGGCTCTTTTCGGTGCGGGTGCTTAGACGTCGGGTTCCAAATCTGGCGGTGCTCGGCCTCAAATGTCGGCCTGTGCAGAACGGGAAAGACGGAGTGGACGTGCAGCCAGTACCAGGGCCAGAGATGGTCAGCATACTCTGCCGGTGGAAGGACAATGACATTGTGATCCATCTCACCGAGTGTTTGGTTGAGGCTATTGAGGAGAAGCCGACAATGTTTGTGAGGCCCGGTGATGGCGGTTCTGTCTCGTCTGGTGGCGAAACCGTGGTGCCGGCCATAAAGAGACCATAGCGCATGAAAACTGAGTTGGAGGAGAATGCTAGCGGGCTTTCTCGGTCACCACCGTTCTCGTTGAGGATGATGTGGGCGTCTGAATTTTGTGTGGTGCTTGCATGTTGTCATGGTGAAGACATCCGAAAGGGGTATATTACCAACAAATCTCTCGGCTGCCTTAGCCTAGGACTCATGCTCCAGTTTCTGGAGCCGCCTGTCAAGGTCGGCCAAGCTTCTGTGAGAACAGTTGCGGTTAGCTGAGTTTCCGACACGGGTCGATGAAGATTGTTCCTTGGTTTGTCTCACAGCAACACTGGTGGCTGTATAACAGTATCCTGCCAACCGCATTTGTCGTCCCAGCCCCTCATGGCACAGCCTGAGCACACCGGCTTCCTCCCATCGCACCCAGTCTTACATGACCGGCATGGATTGCATGCTAACCGTGTTTTCCGCCGCCGCTGTGCAGGCAGCCCCGTCTCTGGAACGAACGTATGCGAGGAAGACTCCATGCTTTGGTGTGTGTTCCATGCTTGTGTGATCAAGGCAAGCTGAGACTTGATGAGGGGACAATCAGCGATGTTTGTGCCAAGTAGGGGATGTCCCAATGAAGTTAGGTGCTTACACAGTCTCATTAGCAAGCGTCCTCGCCCAATCAGGACTTAAGATTGGGAATGGCCCTTTCTTCACACGGTTCGAAGGGGGAAAGCAGATTCAGATAGATGTCACACAGTCGCGAATGATTTATGTCCTCGGCCTCAGCTAGTATCTCGCCTACAAGATTTCCTTCTCTTCTACCGACATATTATCGCTAGCCCAGTCAGCATGCACGCTGGTTGTGGTGTGCCCTTCTTCATTGTCTCTTGTGGGTGGTAGGCAAGTTACAACTCGATGTCAGTCTTGAACACGGCCTCATGAACCGGACTTGTGGCAAGGGACGGACCGGCCCACGCATGGGCGGCTGAAACAACTCAGCCTGGCTGGAGCCGTAATGGTAGATTGTAAGAAGGGTCCAGGGGGAAACTCAAGCCAAGCAGCTCCGCAGGCACGTCGATGGCAAGGCCCTTGGATTCATCTTGCTCGACTGAGGTTAGCAGATGGCATTGGGTCCTCGGTTCCATGTCCTCTGGCACGGCTTTACCGACAACGGACGAGGCCAACGCCGTTTTCCAACAGCCAGGACTTTCGTAGATCCTTGACACCTGCGGAGGCGAAGAGGGAGGCAGCTACTTGCAAGAACTCGTGACAAGCAAGTTCTCGTGCACCTTAGCCGCCAGTTTTCACCAGGGCCATAATATTGAACCCGATACTATCCTCCTCTTGGTCAATGTAATTCCTCATCACAGCCAGAACTTCGGCGCAGAGAAGGTCTTGGCCTGCTTCCAGCGTAACGCCCGTGTCAATGGGACCTTTGCTATCGCCATCGAGTTCGTACAAGTGCCCATCCTTGCCAGATCGCACGAAGCAGATGTAATGGAAGTCGACTTCGTCCTCGGCACTGTCTGGCGCAGCCGTCTCGCCTTTCGCCGCCACTGCTGCATGCGCTTGTTCAAGCTCGGTCGAGGCTTCGAGGATTTTGGCTCTTTCTTGGGGGTCTCGCAGAATGCAGTCTCGGAGGAGATGTTCGAGGAGGGAGTTGGGTTCTGCAAAACATACAGCTGTCAGCCTGCTTGTTCTCTTGATATTAAAAAGACTTGAGCTTCGTGTTACATACTGATGAAGGTCCTCACCAGGCCATTGCTTAGGGCGTGGAGGATGGCGTACAAGCCGCATGCATTGTTGATGGTCTGCTTGAGCCACACGATGGGCTCGCCGTCACCACTGCCTTGGTATTCCACACGGGCACTCTCGAGCAAGGCGTTCCTTGCATTGTAGCTATCTGTGGTGGGGAAGACTAGGATCACGGCCAGCGCTGGTCGCGGGAGGAGCTCGGGCTCGTCGAGGGTAAACACGTCTCGGAATTCGATCTCATCTGAAGCGCCGAGGTGCTTGATGAGCTCATTGAACACCTCCGGGTTGGACTCGAGGGGAATAAAATGCTTCGCGTACGGGCCCGACATTTCGCCTGTCTTGGTAAAGGACGACAGCTCAATGTCAAGTTCGAGTTGGTGGGGAGACGAACGTCGAACATCCAACTAAAATAGTGGGGTAATCCCCCGCAATGATCTTCAGCGCTCTCCCGCTGTATTATGGGCCTAATTGAAACGACAATAGGAACCCACGCGACGAGACAGCTTCGAGCCGCCTACAACGTCTTGTGCTTTGCCAAAAGGCCAATAAACTGGTCGATCCGCCTCTGACGCGTCTCTGCGCGTTTCGCCGTCTCGATGCGCCAGAGAAACGAGTATCGCTTCGACTTGTTGAGCGTGTCAAAGTACGCGCCAGCCTTCTTGTTTTTGTCGAGCGCCTTCTGGAAATCGGCCGGCACCTGCATCACGCTCGACGACGAGTATGCCCTGTCCCAGCGGCCGTCGGCCTTTGCGGCATTGATCTCGGCCTGGCCAGGCGGTCGCATGCGCCCGGCTTCAATCAGCACGCCGACCTTCTCCACGTTCCGCTTCGACCACATGCTGCCGCCGCGGCGCGGGGTGAAGCGCTGCAGGAAGTGCTGCTCGTCGTGGCTCTTCCTCTGCCCATCGATCCAGCCGAAACAGAGCGCCGCGTCGATGGCTTCGTCGTAGGTGACTGACACAATGCCCGATGCTTTCTTGCTGAGCTTGAGCCAGAGGCCAGCCGTCTCGGTGTGGTGGTGGGTCTCGAGCCATGATTCCCACGCGCTCGCGTCTTCGAAGAGCTGGATCGCCAGACCCAGCGCGGGGGATGGAGCCGCCGGAGCCGCTGGAGCTGTCGAAACCGCAGGGGACTCGGTTACCGCTTGCACGGCTTTTGCTGCCGATCTGAGCCGTCGAGACATTGTGGAGTGCATTCCATCAAAGGACGTAAACGGTGGCTAC